TCCACTAACTTGTCCATCATGTTCTGTAATTCCTCCTCTTCCTTCGCCAATACTACTAAGTCGTCTGCATACTTTACAGTCTTTATCACTCTTCCTCCAATACAAACATCTACAAAACGAAATATGGTTTATTCTTTAGGTACGAGGCCCAAGTTTTCGCCGTTTCAACGATGATTTTGTTCCTGGAGCACGCGCGCGTTGTCCTGGCTGATCTCTTCAGTGGTAAGTGTTATGATTTATATCTTCTTTACGTTGTTTAAAGACGAAGTAACGTGTGTGAAGTATTAAAAATAAGCTCTACGTCCAATTTTTTGAAGCACTCATGAACCCCGAACTTCTACGGCGATAATACAAAATCAGTAGTGAGCAGTGTATATTCGAGACTGTTGATATAAATGTTTGTAAGAACGATAATTATGCACGTAAAAAGGTGCATACGGAAAATTTCGCAAGATGCTTACCTTGCTGAACTTGATAATTATAATTATCAAATAATTATTTAATATAGGTGTGAATCGTTTCTTAACAGACCTAATCAGGATATAAGGCTTTCATGTTAATATGGATCCTGTTTCTGGGTGATGGTATATTGCACACTCAGGCTGTATTGCCGGACGTACTGTCTCCATTTCAAGGCGAATACAATTTGAAAGCCTGTTCGAAATGTTTTCGTTCTGGTTAGTATCTAATTCTTTAAATCGCAATGGTAGGATAAATATTATTTAGATAAATTTCGGTTTCAGACGATTAAGGAAATATGAACAAAAAAAAGTATTTATGACTTGGTGTAGTGTAAGGAGATTAGAGTGGCTAACATTACATTTTTGCTGTGAGAAATTAACATGAAGGCTGTCAGGTATAGTTTGCATGGAACCCACCTTGGCACAAGTCTGACCTAGTCTGACACTAGCGTCAGCAAACCGTGTTTCTGCAGTGGACACCCAGAGATTCAATGTTTACTTCATTGTCCTTTGCTGCTGGACGTCAAAAGAAAGGAATGTTTTTTTAAAAGAAGAATTGTACCGAACGGGACGGGGGTAGTGATCGCTTAATCCAAGCTGTGTGTTGTTAGTTTCAAGGGGTGAACTCCCCCTTTTCGTATAACGAGAGGGCTGCAACACGCCCATTGTTGACTTGCAGACAGAAGAATGCGGGTGAGCTGACAGCCACCAACCACCGCCAAAACTGGTGTCATCGATATTACAAGTAGACGTCACCGAGCTTTGTTTCTGTTGATAATTATTTCGAAAAAAAAAATCTGGGAAGTTTAATGTTTTTCACGGTTCCGAATATGACGATGAATGCCTTTTGAAATCATCTGAGCGATCGTCCTGATGATAGGAGGCAGTAAGCACATCTGAAACATCGATCAGTCAGAGTCATCTTCGACCAAAATTCAATTTCGTGTTTGATGAAGAGTTTCTATGCTATTAGCGTTGTTAGGTGATAAAATGAAAGATAACGTACTGCAAATACAGCACGTGTGTTTGCAACAGAAATGTTTATACAGTATTGATAAGAAAAATTCAAATGAAGAGTTAGGCAGACTGGAGGATAATATAAAATTCTGTCTTAGCGAAATAGGTTTTAGAGATTCGGGTTGGATTCAGTTGAGTGAGAGCAGGGTCCAGCATCGGAGACCAAGGAGGAGAATTTCTGAATTGTAAACCAGATTCTTACAAAACCACAGACAATCCACTACATAAAAATACAGGGGGGGAAATTGTGTGGTTTCTTAAGAATGATAAATTATTTTAGTATAAGATGATAAAGTTGCGTCATATTGTGAAACGCGGCAATACTTCCAGATGGACGTAACTCCTCCACAACTTCATTTCAGGATGATACAAAACGTTCACCCACACAGAATCATGTTAAACACGACGTACATACAGAACAACTTCGAATACGATATTAAAAAATACAATAAATCTAGAAGAAAACATCATTTGAAATCTGATAAACATCTGACTAAAAAGTTGCATTTAAGAAATTATATTTTTAAGTTTATATAATTTTATACACCTGAAGATGGTTCTTTTAGAACTGAAACATGTCGTGTAAAAAAGTGATGTTCTAATGTAAATCGAACATTTCGATAGAGAATATCATTTAATATATTTTTAAATATTTAAATTTTAATTATGGTAATATTTTAATATTTAATAGGAATTTTATTGTGATTAGACTGACAAGATTTAAACAAATATATTTTAATATACTTAATTTTAAGCTGTTGTTTTGTTACGGGATGCCAACGCTGTTAACAATTCTAATTACATATTCGTACTTCTTTTGGTATCAGTACTCAAGAAGTCCTATCCCGTTCTAATTTTTCACAAATTTCGATTCGAACCGATGACTTTTCTCGCTACGGGTTGCATTGACTTGTATTCAGGTTCGCCGTCATACAAAGCCTTCGTGTGCTATTGAAACGGAAACTGGTCCGAGTAAAAGTGTTTTGGAAATATCTGAACATACAGCAGATACGACGACAATGATTTTGAATAATTCATGAAGGTTCCTGTTTTGAAATGTCCCGATATTTCTGAATAAAGTCACAGTGAATCGAATCTAATGTTTTGGTTTGATTATGGTTACGCATTGTTTGTAGTTGTCACACATGCCATGAGGGGGAAATCTTAGGGCCACCCCATTTCGTCACTGTGAATTATATCAAAACACGGTAGACGCCTCTACCTGGAGTCTTGTTTTGTTGTCGCTGAATTGTGTTCAGTGAAACTGTTTTCATCACGTTATCAATTGAACAAGGTCTCTTAGACCCCGCTTAAATCTGTTGAGTATTTTAAATAAAATATAAAAGTATCAACGGAAGTCGTCAGCAGTAGTGCGTAATTATAATCTTTTGCATTACAATTATAATGACAAACAATCATTTGCAGCGCTATTATGATCATTAGTGTTGTGGTAGAAATAATTCTTAGCAGCACATGAACGGTAGAAAAATCTATATGTAGACTCTGTTTTATGGAACCGGAAGTTTTCCTTTTTTATTAGAGTTGTCACTAGGCGAGATAAGCCCAATGCATATGATAAAACCCTGTTTATTTATAACATTTATTAATGTCACATCGTAAAAGCTTAGCAGCTTTTAAATATCGTGCGTCACTCAAGTTATTATGTTTATTGATACAATAAGAATGCTCCCACAGTTGGAATTGGATAAGGAAAAGAATTAATGAAAGTTGAAATAATAAATTTAAATATTCGTAGTGAGATTTTCTACAGCTCGTTGTATAAAATAACGAGAATGTTTTAAAACTGAATGAATGTGCAAATATAAAACAAATATAAAATAGTTTAAAAACAAATTTATTTTAAAATAAGATTTCTTGTTATAAGACACATAATTTATATCAGTGCATAGTTATTTTGATTTATGAGATTAAATTTATTTCTAGCAAAGTTACATTTGCAACACCTCGCCCCTCGATAGAGATATAATAATTTGATAATAAATTGAGATGATAAAGTTGCGTCATATTGTGATATAATAAATATATATTATTTAAATCTTGTCCGTCTAATCACAATAAATTCTTATTAAATATTAAAATATTACAATAATTAACATGGTCTAATGTAAATCGAATATTAAATTGTTAATTAGTAATATACAGGTTTCTTGTCTTTTATGCTGTTATGGTCTTGCGTGTAATTGACTTTAATGACTGTGCATGTTTCTTACAACTACTTTACACTCTCGAAACCTAAAGATCACGGAGTAAGCATATAAGACTTATTTTTCGCTTATTGAAATTCGCGCGTGCCCATTACGTGTTTAGATCAGGTGTCGAAACGCGCCCTGCTTCTCAAACAGAGGCAGCATCCTCTGAAGGCAGTTCTTGAACGCCGTCCCCTTGAAGAAAAGCGGTTGCTTAGTCCCGTCTTCTAGCGAGAGGTCAAGATCGAAAACTGAGTCTGACTCGGACAGAACGATGGGCAGCAATGTACATGCATGTAACATCCCCATCACCACTTTGCTGTCGTACTCTGCACGAAGATCGTCTAGAGTTAACATCTTCTTTGAGTACCCCAATGCCGTCAGAGTGTCACACAGCGCACTGTGGTATTCCTGAAACATTAAGTTTTAACTCTTTAATTAATATCAAATCTAAAACTCCTTGACGATGGTGAAGAGTCAATTGAATAAAAAATTTCTTGGATATTATCCATCGTCTAGTAAGTATAAAACGTAAAACGACGTTTCGGAGATGGGACTTTATCTCCGTCTTCAGGTTCCTACACAGTTGGGCCCACTAGATAGAGCTAATCCCTATCTCCGGACCTCGTCCCATCTCCGAAACGTCGTTTTACGTTTTATATTTACTAGACGATGGATAATATCCAAGGAAAAAGTCCGGAGATAGGGATTAGCTCTATCTAGTGGGCCCAACTGTGTAGGAACCTGAAGACGGAGATAGAGTCCCATCTCCGAAACGTCGTTTTACGTTTTATATTTACTAGACGATGGATAATATCCAAAGAAATTT